CCAGAGGTCACTGTCCCTGCAGCTGGAGGCCCCGCTGCCGCTGAGGCTGTAGTGCAAGTCACAGTCGAACACCACGGTGTCCCCAAAGGTGTAGTGGGGTCGGTACCCGCTCAGCAGCTTCCCATTCTCCACTCTTGGCTGCTTACACGTCACCACTGGGCCGGGGGAAGCACACAGGCAATCAGCAGTTAGGCTTCAGAGGGGATGTGAGGGATTTGAAAAAGTCCCCGTCGCCTTTTGTCACCAAAAGGGCTGAAAAGGGCCAGGACAGGGTGATGGGGTGGGTTTATAGGCTTTACCCTGGGTTACTGCAGGGTGTTTTAGGGCAAAGCAAAGAGAGAACACAGGTTTGGGAATGCTTTGCATCTCTTCTCTTTTACAGCAGGTGAGAGGGATCTCCTGCCCTGTGAGCACAGTAAAATCCCACTCCCACATCCCTGCTGCCACAGTCAGCATCAGAGGAGACCCTAACTCCTGTCCCACCTGCAAGAGGTGATTCCATTCCAGCAGGATGAAGGAGAGAGGAGGTTCCAAGGGAGGAAGCAGCAGAGCAGGAGCAGGCAGCAGTGCAGGGATGTGGGAACAGCTCACCTTTGCATTCTGGAGCTGGGCTGCTCCACACACCGTTCATGTTATCCGTGGTTGTGCAGATAATTGTGGCCTCTCCCACCAGGGAGAAAGGTCTCTGCCCCCTCCTGGGGCTGTGGCACCAGTAGGTGACAGAATCCCCGTACACAAAATGCTCCTTGTCCATCCCACTGTGCTGCCCATTTGCGATTTCTGGAGGGGGTGCACAGGGAATCGCTGTGGAAGGAGGGGAAGATCACATAAGAAGGATTAAATTCATTTTAAACCAAAGATCTGGCCAGAAAAAGGTGGAAACAGGAGGTGGCAGAAGGGTCAGGAATGAAAGGCAGGTTTTGAGGAGCTGCACCAGCCCCAGGCTCTGACTGGGCACTGAGGAGGTTTGGGATATCCCAGGCTCAAATGCAGCTGCATCACTCCCAGAGAGTGAATTTCCTTCTGCAGGAAGGGAAACACAGATTAAAAAATGTCTTTCCAGGCTCCACTGTGCACTGAGATGGCAAAATCCTCAGCAGAGCAACACAACAGCTTGTTTATCCAGCCACACCCCAGATAATTAAAGAACAGATAGTTAAGGAACTCTGCTTACCCTGACAGGTGGGAATGTCTCTGTTCCATGTGAGAACCTCATTTCTAAGCACACATTCAATCTCAGAGTGTCC